AAATAGCTTTGTATTAAGTGATAATTTTTTCTGTTTATTTTTAACATTACAATGTCTTAATATGCCTTTTAATATTACAACGAATATGTGGTGAAGTTGAAGTAGCTTAATGATGTTAATTTTAATAGTTAACACTTGGCTTTGAAATAATCAACCTTGAACAATAGTTAGGTTCTAGGTGATTCATATACCATCTGTACCTATCAAGGCCACACTGAAATTTAGGCAGCACGGCAACTATAATAATGAGACATTTTTGTAAACCTACTGTAGCTAACTTTTGTGATTTAAGTGTTAAAGGCAACCTGTTTCCATTTGCTTTTTGTTTTGCACTGGTCCTTTGAGGGAAAGATCTTATTGAGCATCATCTCTATTTTTAGCCAGTGGATAAAATTTTTATCTTCAAATTTCTTATGCTCATGGAAGGCTATAATTTCTGCCACTTGGTATGCAAAAATAATTAACTATTTATATAGAACCTTTCCTGACCTCAAGATATTCCAATGTGCTTTAAGGACAAAAAAAATCATTGAATTGTGAGCATTGTTATAAGAAACATGACATTACTTTGCACATGGTAAACCATCTCAACGGCAATATGATAATGACCAGATCATCTATATTGTTTGATTTTGTTTTGAGAAGTAATGATGGCCAGGGTTAACTCTTCCGTTCTTCTTTGATGAAAGGATCTTTCCCATCCAAAATTGAGTAGATGCGACTTTGGTTTGATGCCGTGTGAAAGGCGCTATCTCCAATAGCACATCACTATCTCATGACTGCACTGGAGAGTAAAGTTAGGTACTTGTCTTCATGTTTCAGGAGTAGGATTTGAACCTGTAATCTTTTGACTCAGTGAGAGTGCTACCCCTGAGCCATGGCTGACGCAAGCAAATTATAAGTGAATTGTACTGAACTGCACCTTTCTACAAGTTGAAAACTCATGGCTTGTGATTTTCAGAGGCAGTAAGAACTGCAGATGCTGGAGTCAGAGATAATGCAGTGAAGAGCTGGAGGAACACAGCAGGCCAGGCAGCATCAGAGGAGTAAGAAA